AAGGGAAGGGAAGGGAAGGGAAGGGAAGGGAAGGGAAGGGAAGGGAAGGGAAGGGAAGGAAAGGAAAGGAAAGGAAAGGAAAGGAAAGGAAAAAAGAAAAGAGAAAAGGAGAAAAGAAGAAAGAGAAAAGGAGAAAAGAGAAAAGAAGAAAAGAAAAAAGAAAAGAGAAAAGGAGAAAAGAAGAAAAGAAAAAAGAAAAGAGAAAAGGAGAAAAGAAGAAAAGAGAAAAGGAGAAAAGAAGAAAAGAGAAAAGGAGAAAAGAGAAAAGGAGAAAAGAAAAGAGAAAAGGAGAAAAGAAGAAAAGAGAAAAGGAGAAAAGAAAAGAAAAAAGAAAAGAGAAAAGGAGAAAAGAAGAAAAGAGAAAAGGAGAAAAGAAGAAAAGAGAAAAGGAGAAAAGAAGAAAAGAGAAAAGGAGACAAGAAGAAAAGAGAAAAGGAGACAAGAAGAAAAGAGAAAAAGACAAGAAGAAAAGAAAAATAAAAGGAGACAAGAAGAAAAGAAAAATAAAAGAAAAGGAGACAAGAAGAAAAGAAGAAAAGAAAAACGAGACAAGAGAAGGAAAAAACCTAATTCCACTGTTGGCCAAGATGATGGGATGTGCAGGGTCCTGGCCTTTTTGGGGGTACCTTTTCACAGATGGGTTTTGCCACCCTGGAAACAAGTTTCTCACTTTCTGGGCAGATTAGTTTATCATGTGCAGTCTGTTCTTTCAGACCGTCCTGGAAATGAGTCAGAGGTTCCATCTGTCCTGTGTCATCTTGTTCTCACCCTACAGTCCATAGCCAGTTCTTGGTCTCTTTGCTGTGCTATCTTGTTCTTATCTACAGGGTCTAGAACAATGAGGTTTGTCCCAGGAAAGTGATACCCTAACTCCACACAGCCCCCTTTTCCAGCCACATCATGTTCTTTTTTATGGTATGTTATTACCAACAATCCTTGGTTGACTCCACAACCATCCAGCTATCTGTTTTTGAGACACACACATTAGCCCCTTATCTTCTGAGATTCTACACAGTAGAAATCAACTTGTCAGAAATGCTAAATGCACTATAGCTTTCTCAGATTGTCTGGTTTTGGTTGTAATAAAGAAGGAATATGTTACACCTTGAATGCTTTTTTGTACTGTCCTCATAAGCAGAGCTGTTTGCTGTGCAAATCAGAAGCTGTGGGTGCATGCAGGAGCTTCCATGCTTGGGAACATCCAGAGAAATAACAACCTACAGTCATGGTCCCAAGTGCTGTTTGCAGGCAGCTGCTTTATCGGAATGTCTGCGGGTTGGTTGTGTCCGCTGGGACGCTGACACAGACAAACTGATGAAAATAATTTTCATGAATGGAAGATCTGCAACTGAGATACAAGAGAGAGAAGGACGCAGTGCCAAGAGCGTCACAATGACAGATACTAATAGAGAAAGGGGTACTCCCTGCCATGTCCCAGTGAACTCAGTACATGCTACTCATGTTTTGTAGCTCACTTTCCCTGCTTCATTTACCAGTTTTCAAAAAATCAGTTTCACAATTTGAGTTGTCCTCGTAAGTTGCAACACCCCAAAAAATCTGTTCAAAAGGTTTGGTACTTAAAAAGAAAATAATTCTAAGTTAAATGAAGTTATTTTTTAACCAAAGCAAAAGGTTGTGCTCATCTTACACCTAGAAAAAGGCACATAGTCACTCTTTATAAAGACAGAAACCCTACCAAACTCTGAGTAGTGAGCATTTTAATGCACACTAAAGCACACTATATTGCCCAGAGTGATTTTTGTATTAATTATTTAGTAGTGGTGCATTGTATAGGTTACATTCACATGATGACAGGGAATGAAGACTGAAATCCAATTCTCATGATTAGACAAAAATTTTGCCCTGTGGCCTTATGTTATATTTGCAATAATGCTCCGCTAAATGACCTATATGTCATTTAAATAAGTAATATTTAAGTATAAGATATACAGGTAAGTATGTCATTTGACCACTGGGAAAATGATTACTGTGAGAAGGCTGGGGAAAAATGCAGAAAAAAAGACTTTGAGGGAAAAATACATGACAAGTTTGGACACAGAAATATATGGCTCAAAGTTTGTAAGACGGGTAGAACATTTAGCTTATAATACATTTAGTAGTCAGCAAATTTTCTTTTGTTTTAGCATTTAAAATATTGAGGTTTACATAGTAGGCAGTTTAGTACTGCAAACTTCCAAGACATGAGATTTTTTTTCTATAGTTCATTTACAGTTATAATTTTTTTTTTTTTTTTTTTTTTTTTTAATAGGGTAGTAGCTTCTCTGGCAAGGCAGTTGAAGAGTCTGGTGGTCACTGACATCCACTCTGTGTTAGACAAGTAGGGAGGTCTGCAGAAAGCAGCAGGTTGGTTGGGTTGCTTTAAGAATACAGTGCAGTTGACAGTTTCTAACACGTGCAAAACACAGATGCCCTTTATTGCTCTTGTGAGCATCCCTGTACGAGAAACTTCTGTGCCAAAGTTTCTATTCTGATGTGACATTATTTCTATCCCGATTCTCACAAACAGCACCATTTTCATACATTAAAAATCTCCTGGTTAGACGTAGGCTTGAGTAGTTATTTACTGATCTTCATGCCATTTTGATGGTCTTTAATACCCTCCTTTGCAACCCCAACCATATCAAATCTACGTGTCACATTCATTTACAGAGTTAAGGTTTGCAAGATTCAACTCAGTTTGTAAAAGTATTAGTTTTGTCTTTTGCTGAAGAGCACATGGAAGGAAGAACATTGTTTTTAACCTGCTAGAGCACTCATCACAGTGTTTAACACACTTCAGTGTCACACTGCAGAGTAGCTTAATAAGATGGGTAACTGTATAATTGTATAATTATTGTGTAATTGTACTATCATGCATATTAGGAATCATCATACTGTTTTGCTATGTTGTATTCCTCTTGATAAAAAGATCTATTTTTCTGTTTTATTATATTAATGCTATCAGAAGGGATTTTTCATGTAAAAATACCCATTTCTCTTGCATTCTCCAGAGTGGTCTGTATCTGTCCAAAGGATGAAAACATAGAAATATACACAAATACATACAACTACATGTTTATTTATGTAGGGTTTTTGCGACCAAGTTTTGGTAGTGACAGGGGTGCTACAGGGACAGCTTCTCTGAGAAGCTGCCAGAAGCTTCCCCCATGTCCAGCAGAGCCAATATCAGATGGATCCAAGACAGGCCCACTGCTGGCCAAGGTTAAGCCAATCAGATATGTGATAATGTATCTCAGAAAGAAAGTTATTGCCCAGATGTAATTGCATCCAAAGAAGAGAGGAATGAGAATATGTGACAGGAACAACAATGCAAATGCCAAGGTTGATGAAGAAGGAGATGAACGAGGTGTTCCAGGTGCCAAAGCAGAGATTCCCCTGCAGCCTGTGGTGCAGACCGTGGTGAGCAGATCCACCCAAGGGTGATGAGGGAGCTGGTGGAAGAGCTCGCCAAGGAGCTCTCCATCATT